AAGATAAAAAGAAAAGAAAAAGGGGAGCTAATGCACTGATGACAGTTGCCAAGATTTGATAATCTCGGTTTTGGGAAATTTATTATTACATGGAATATAATACTCGATCCGTTCGAAGTGGAGAAAGATAAAAAAAAAAGAAAAAGGGGAGCTTGCACTANGAGTTAATGCACTGATGACAGTTGCCAAGATTTAATAATCTCGGTTTTGGGAAATTTATTATTACATGGAATATAATACTTGATCCGTTCGAAGTGGGAAAAGATAAAAAGAAAAGAAAAAGGGGAGCTAATGCACTGATGACAGTTGCCAAGATTTAATAATCTCGGTTTTGGGCAATTTATTATATCGAATATAATACTTGATCCGTTCGAAGTGGAGAACGATAAAAAGAAAAGAAAAAGGGGAGCTAATGCACTGATGACAGTTGCCAAGATTTGATAGTTTTGGGAAATTTATTTGATTTGATCTCGAAATGAAATATTCAAGAAGAGTAACGGCGTATTTATTATATTGGGTTTTGTTGCAGGTAACAACTGTGCCGGACGAGGGAGAGAACAGCTTTAAAATGCCCAGGGCTTCCGTGGTGCACATGACTTCGACGGCGACGAGGCCGCAACACATGTCACAGGTATCGATCACCGTGCTTCTTAGAGCTTATTATTATTATTATTATTCGAATCGAACAAGGATAGATTCTTCCTTGTTTCTTTCGTATCTTTTTTTTTTTATTTGCTTCACTTGGTTCGAAGAAGAGAAGGAGAGATTCGCAAGAAAGGGAGGAGGGGGATAGAAATTATAGTTGGCGGCCAAGGCGACGTTATCGGCGTGCCCATTTCGCCAATTTACATTTCCCCATGGTTACTCGAAATAATCCAAATCCACTGAGAATCCGGAGAGAATCTTTCCTTCTTGGCATAGGTCCATATCGATATGCAAATACCGAAGACAGCCGTGAGCTTAATTGAGTGGTTCGAGCTCAAAACGCATATCGACCGGATTCTTTTCTCCATTTTTTTCGCGCGTATTACACGTGCAACGGTGTGCACTTTGCTACCCCGGACTGACCACCACCCATTTTCACAATATCGCCACTCTAAAGACTTTCAAAGCTCTCTATCTCTCTCTCTCTCTTTTCCCCATCTTTTTCTTTCCTCGCTTACCAAGCAGCATCTCCTCAGCTAACTGTTTTAAGCTAATGGCTCTCCCGGTTAACTTCGACTTAACTCGAGGCACATCGACGTAAACGAGCTTTTAACGTCGCGCGTTTAAGAAGAAACGCAACGGGGGAGAAGGGAGGAAAGCTTCGCGTAACAGAGAGTTTCATATTCGCTGGAGGGAAAAGTTGGCGTGAACTTTCAACCGAAATGGAAATGAAAATGTTCCAATCCCTTCTACTTCCGCTGCTTACTCCTATCCCCATCTTAGTGAAAAGCTCGGATTATTAATTCTCTACCCCATATCGATCGATCATATTTGAATCGAATCCAATCGAGAATAAAAGACTCTCGAATCCATTTGAATCTTCGTCGTTAACTTTAACTCTCTCAACTCGATGTCCACCACCAGCCTCTCTCAGGATCAACGTTGTAACGCTCGCCAACGCTCAGAAGAAAAAAAGGGAAGAGAGATTAATTCGTTGAATCGATTGGCCAAATTTTCAGGAACGATCGGTTCGATATACCGCGGCCATTTTATTATCTTCCTCCCTCGAACGGGGCGCCATCGATATTTGCACGCGCGCGGAATACAAATCCATTCGGCCGTTTCGAGAATTAGATTTCTAGGATTATCGGGTGCGGGTCGTGCGTCAAAACGGAATCGCGTACGAGCGGATGGCGAGCTCAAATTAACGGGGTGTTTCCAACTTTGACACCGGTGTCCGATTATACGCCATTATTGGTCGAGGATAATCGCATCCCGAGTAATGGTAACCAGGTGTTATCGAATCTCGCTTAAGTTACAACGAAGCGGGTATTCGATTATTCCCGTTTCCAATCCGGATTTGTTCGATGATATCGAATTACAGGCAAGATTCGCAGGGGTTTTGAGAAACAAGTTCGAGAGAAGAGTCTGCTATGCGAATAAAATCATCATCGTGCATTAATATTCGATTATTAGAAGTTAATGGGAAAATTAGCATTAGATTCGATATACGTACGATTCTAAAGAAAAGAAAAATTTATCTGGTTAAATTTACTTTCTCTAGAAAGATTTTATTGTCAATTTCACGGATATAGAAATCAAACAACGAATTTCCCCGAAACGATTACGGACAATAATTCAAAAATTAACGTTTACCAAATATTTATATAACCGTGATAAATCAAGTCGCATGTTTGAACGAGCATGGTTATAAATATATATACGACTTCCTTATTTATTTCGAAAATCGAACTTCGTACGGAACGGCGACGGAGCGAACGCGACGCCTCGATCTTTCAAGTTCGACTTTAATCTTCGTTTAGCCTCTCCCCGGCAAAACGTTTCAATGTACAAGTTGGCGGGGCAAGTTCGAGCCGCAACGTGGTGTGACTATAAACGAGGGGGAGCGAGGGGAGAGCGCGTCAGACGTCTCTGAAAGTGAGCGTCAAAAGGGTTAAACAGGGCCCAGGCCGGGTCACCAGTTGGACGCGATATCCAAGCACGAGGGGGGGTATCCATCGGTGGTAACGTAACAACACAGCCACACGCTGCTACGTCGTAAACCGGTGGTGAGTCACGTCTCGCCACGTCTTCCCCCTTTTATGCCCGATTTCGTATTCGAGTAATTGCGCGAGACTAATGCGCGGGACACGAGAGACGACCGACTACCGGGATCCGGATCTGGGCGACGAGGCGACATTTGGCGAGATAATTTTATACTTTGCCGGATCGAAGGATTTTTGAAAAATTCGGATTTAATTTAATATGCTGGAGTTTAAAAAAAAAAACGTGAGAAATATCTATCGTTTTCGACGATACTTTCAACACGGTTTTCGATTGGTAAAAGTTTTCCCTACGAGAATGGTATCGTTCGATTTACGACGAAGTTTAAAATACCGGTCGCGTGATTTTTTGGTGCGTTTATGGAAAGAAGTAACGAATTCTTCGAAAATTCGATCGAGAAGGTAATCGAATCCACTTTTGAATAAAAGTGTACATGCATAGGCGCAGCAATTCAATCGTTTTTAATGGGTTAATAATATCGCGAGCTCGATGTCTCAATGATTCAGTGACTGATCGTTCGATCGGGATCGTATATAACTATAGTTGTATGGATTTCACACGATCCAATGCACGAGCAATCGGATAAAAAGCTTTGAAAACCGGCTCAACCAACCCACGCATTATTGTTCGCGGGCAGAGAATATCGGCGTCTCCGCCGCGACGACGGAAAGGTTATTGCGGCGTCGCGTTTAAATGGCCTGCAATAACTTGTCTCCGGATCTATCGTGGAGGAGGAGGAGGAGGAGGAGGATATCGAAAGTTTATGCAAATTTTCCGAGGGATCGGCGGCGGCTCGATCGACTCGCGCTTCAAATTCCTCACGATGACGGAATCGTAAACTTTTAAAATAATCGAACGTGTTGCAACAAAGTGTCACGCTCGAAAACTCGCGCGTCGAGTTTAATATATAAAATATCGACAGGATATTCACAACAGGTGACACTGTGGATTTAACGGATCCCTCCAAGACATTTCCAATTTTTCTTCTATCCGCTTCCTCCCTTTCATTCAAATTTGTCAAATCGAACGATTTTCCAAAGTTAAAATCTATCGTGACGATCTTTGAATTCGATCCAAAAAGTTGGAAAATTCGGGGGAGTTGGTTAAAAAAAAATAACAAGCATCGTTATATTTTCGACAACCACGGTCGATACACGGTCGGCTGCAATCGAATTATATCCCGGCCATAATTCAATAACCGGGGGACAATTTTTGCGTCCCCTTCCCCCCTCGTTTCGCGATGAATTAATGCGTTTATCTCGCGATCTTCAAGCGTGGCAATTTATTTCGAAGCGAAGCACTTCTCGACGGGAGAAGTTGCGCAATAATTGCAAGGCACACCCTGAATTTTATCCACAATTATGCGCCTCATAAATAATTATATTCCCGCGCCGGTGACCGACACTTATAACGGGCGGGAAATATTTCCAACTTGGAAAACGTGCAGCGCCTCGACACGGATATTTTCGCGCTCTCCCCCCTTTCCTCGCTTTATCGATGGTCGTTTCTCTCTGTTCGCGTAATCACACTCGAGAGTGGAAGTGAGTAAATTAACTCCCCTTACCGGAACAGACGCTTTTATCGGTTTAACGGAGACAGATTTCGCGGGGAGAAAAGAAAAATTGATTTGCCAGGAGAGGCAGATCTGCACGGTTGAACGGATTTCACCTCCGCCGACGAATCGTAAAATCGAATGTAAATCACGTTACAAGGAGTTACAATGTGGAATAATAACCTTCGAACATAGTGTGAAGTTTTTTCTTTTTAAATTAGCTGCTCGAAAATGTCTTAAGATAGTTTTGTAATAAGAAAAACCAGTAAGATTAGTCGATATACGCTTGGACTTTAACGCTAATCGCGTTTTTTTCGCTAAATCATTTGTAGTGCACGCTTATATATCCTATAAGGTATCCAGTTAAGCGGCATTCCTTTGTACCTTTTAATTCCTTCCAGTTCTCTCGACCGAGTATAATAAATATCCTATAATGGAGAAACTGAAAACGGGGGGAAAAAAGCCGTCGCAAAAGAATCTGGATTTACGTCGAGCGAGCCGTATGATAATGCCCACCCCAAGCTCGCGCTGTTTCATATTCGTTAAAAAATATCCTTCCCTTCCGAGGGGAGAGAAAAAAAAATCTTTTTCGGTATTAAGGATTCCGCAAAGATCGTAATCCCTTCTTTTCAACTCCTTTCAACTCTCGTCGGAATTGAAAATTCTAGAATCCGTAACCGATTCTCCATTTTCACGATGCTACCAAGCTATCTACGAGTGTCGCGCAATATTTGTATATTTTACTGCCTCTTGCACGGTACCATAAACGACACGCTGACGCAAACAAGGAAGAGAGATACGTGGCGCCTTGTGTATCGTGTTGTACAATCAAGTAAGAAGATTTGTTGCGGAAATCCATCCGACCAAATTTCCTCCGGATCGATCCCGGTTTTTCATTTTTCGAGGAAGAATTTTACGAGCTCGGCGGGAAAGTGAAAATCGCTCTCGTCTTTCGTCGAAAAATGCGCGAATGTAAACAGAATATATACGAAAATAGACGGAGAGGGATGAGAGATGATGGTTACAACAACCGCTTCGCATTCCATCGCACGAGATTCCATCCCGGCGTAATTTCCACCCCGTGCACCATAAAATCGGTTTCTCACGACGAATCCCTCCCCCCTCTCTCTCTCTCTCTGTTCATCAGCATCGTCATAAATACGAGAAGAGAAGCGATCGTTAGAGAGGATGCGGATGGAGGAACAGCGAGATGTTTAGTATTCCTCGCGAGGGTTCGCTTCCAATCTGCGACCAACAATTTGTCCGACGATCTCCAGCCTCTATACGCACAGTTTCTCCGATGATAAACATCTGTTGCCATACACACCGAAGGAATTGGCGGAAACGTTATCCTTCGAGCGAATCTTGGAACGAATTTTTAACACCTCCGACACCGTTTTATTTTTGTATCAATTGTAATGCGATTTCCTCGCTCGAATTTTTCTCAATATCTTGACGAATTGTTTCATTCACAAGGTGTTGGCCACCCTGGCACTGTCGATGGGAACGCTTTCCTCGGGCCTGGCAAAGGGTTACACCTCGCCCGCCTTGGATTCCATCCTGGACAACCAACCGCCTCACCTTTATCAGTCCACCAACAACGACACGTGGTAACGTATCGCGTATCATTTTCACGCGCGATAATACCCTTCCCCTCCCCTCCCCGATTTAAGTATGGAGCGTAACACGCGGCCGTTTTACGATGTAAAGTAGTAAGAGAGACTTGGTAAAGTAATTGCGAGTCAGACGCGTGTCGTGTCCCCTAACGATTAGCGTCAAGATAAGAAAATTAAATAAACCCGACAAGATATTTCGCCCGTGGCGTAATAAAGCGAACGAGGGAGCGAGTATCTTAGATAATTCGTTTTAAGCAAATGCATTAACGTCATCACGTTCCGTTTTCGGCCGGTTGTCGCACACTTTCTCCGCGATAGCTGGCTTTTATCGCTATCGAGGAACCCACTACGCGTAAAGAAATCGTTAGTCGTTGTATACTATCTCGTGTATACAATATTATATATATATATATATAGTTTACGTATTATATACGCAATTTAATTTCAATTGGAGTTAAAAGTTGTTTTCGAATTTCAACTATAATCGACACGTCTACTCCGAATATCGATATCTTCCTTTCAGAGAGCGTTTAATTACCCAAGAATAAATTCAATACTTCGATCCATAGTAAAATCGAGAGTTGTACGATTTGCGCAACGAGAGATGCACGATTTTCTTCTACGATCACCCAACATGAAATCGAAGCGAATCAATCGCTGTGTATAAAAAAGAAAATCGATTCGAAATCTTTTGTCAGAATAGTAGCTCTGTGATGCGGTAGAAGCTACTGGTCCTTGAACCGAGGATCGATGCGTTTCGATCGATCGATCGTCGCGCAGGGTTCAAATCACGGGTATTGGGCGAACGATTAGGCTGCCCTGTAACGCTAGTCCCTGTCATTTGTAATCGCCATTTGTTGCAGGTCGGCTTTCTCGGTGACGCAACAAGAAGCCTCGTGGGTCGCCTCGTTGTCGATGCTGGGCGCGTGGTTCGGCGCTATGATCGGTGATTGGGTGATGAGAAGGGGGCGTAGATTGGCCCTACGCGTCACGTCTTTGCCCCTGGCCGTCGTCTGGATCCTGACGGGGATCGCGCCCTGCGTGGAACTGGTCTACGTGACCAGCTTCATCGGGGGCCTCTGCTGCTCCGTGATCACCATGGTCGCGCAGGTATGGTATATATATGGTTTTTTTGAATAGATCTCGTTTCTCAAGACTCATTTTTCCAGGTATACATATCAGAAATCTCGATGCCGGGCATCAGAGGTTGCCTGTCGGCTATGCTGAAGGTGCTGGGCCACGTGGGCGTGTTGTTGTCGTATATAGCCGGCACGTATTTGAATTGGAGGCAAAGCGCCCTCCTGGTGGCAATAGCGCCCTCGATGCTCTTTTTGGGGACCCTCTTTATACCCGAGACGCCGTCGTATCTCGTTCTGAATGGCAAAGACGACGAGGCTGCCAACAGCTTGCAGTGGCTGCGCGGTGATCACGTCGACATACGTCACGAGCTCCAGGTAACGTTTTCACACGTGCAATTCCGATATATATATATGATGTTTCGAGGAGGAGGTTGATTCGATTAGATCACGATTACGATTGTTGACAGGTGATCAAAACGAACATTCTCGCGTCACGGGCGAAGCAGTACGAGCTCACGTTCAAGAACAGCGTGTTCACGCCTCGTTTGTACAAGCCCATCGCCATCACGTGCGGGTTGATGTTCTTCCAGAGGTTTTCCGGGGCGAACGCGTTCAATTATTACGCGGTGATCATATTCAGGCAGACCCTGGGCGGCATGAATCCTCACGGAGCTACCATCGCGATTGGCTTCGTCCAACTATTGGCTTCTCTGTTATCAGGTACGCAGATAGTAACCCGACCCTTTCCTTTCCAAGGTATTTATCGAACGACACGCGAGAATACACGAATCGAACGAACGAAACGAAACGAGACGAGACGAGACGAAACGAGACGAGACGAAACAAAGGTTTTCTTCAATTGGTTTTTTTCCTTTCTAAATCTAATTTTCTTCGCCCCCTCAGGATTCCTGATCGATATCGTGGGCAGGTTACCGCTTCTGATAGCCAGCACCGTGTTCATGTCGTTGGCGTTGGCCGGTTTCGGCAGTTATGCCTATTACATGTCCCAGACGCAAAATCTGGGATATCCGGACTCGGCGGTGGTCGGCCAACACGATTGGATACCGTTGCTCTGCGTCCTCGTCTTCACGACCGCTCTGGCTCTGGGCATATCGCCAATTTCGTGGTTATTGATTGGCGAGCTCTTCCCCCTCGAGTATCGCGGCCTCGGCTCGAGCATCAGCACCAGCTTCAGCTACTTCTGCGCGTTCGTCGGGATTAAGCTCTTCATGGATTTTCAGCAGGTGAGACGAGGGGCGGGGAGACCATCGGGACACTTAAAACGTAGGTGTCGGGTGTCCGATATAATCCGCGCTCGATCGATATCTCGTCTCGACGATCGAGTGTATAATCGAGATATTCGAGCTCTTTGATCGCGTTACCGATCCGTTTCCTCCCCCTTCCCTCTCCATTCACGATGATCCTGATAATTATACAACAACACTTGGCATTCGAGAGAGTGGTGCTCTCGTAAATTCGAGAACCTTTCAACGCACCTTTCAAAAATCGTTTCAAAAATTTTAATCTTAACAATCTCTCCTTCCGTGTATCGACAATACGCGTATCCCTCGGATCGTTCGAACCATTTTTCTTAAAATAATAATTCGTTTCTTTCAGATATTCGAGCTCTTTGATCGCGTTACCGATCTTCCTCTCCTTCCTCTCTCCATTCACAACGATCCTGATAATTATACAACAACTTGGTACTCGAGAGAGTGGTATTCTTGTAAATGAGAATCTTTTGATTTTAATCCATGTATCGACAATATCCCTCGAATCATTTTTCTTAAAATAATAATTCGTTTCTTTCAGATATTCGAATTCTTTGATCGTTACCGATCTTCCTCTCCTTCCTCTCTCCATTCACAACGATCCTGATAATTATACAATACTTGGCACTCGAGAGAGTGATACTCTCGTAAATGAGAATCTTTCAATCTTAATAAATCTATAACCTCTCCTTTCGTGTATCGACAATATCCCTCGAATCACTTTTCTTAAAATAATAATTCGTTTCTTTCAGATATTCGAATTCTTTGATCGCGTTATCGATTTTCCTCTTCCTTTCTCCATTCACGATGATCCTGATAATTATACAACAACTTGGTACTCTCGTAAATGAGAACCTTTCGATTTTAACAAATCTCAATCTATAACCTCTCCTTCCGTGTATCGACAATATCCCTCGAATCACTTTTCTTAAAATAATAATTCGTTTCTTTCAGATGTTCGAGTTCTTTGATCCCGTTATCGATTTTCCTCTTCCTTTCTCCATTCACGACGATCCTGATAATTATACAACAACTTGGTACTCTCGTAAATGAGAACCTTTCGATTTTAATAAATCTCAATCTATAACTCTCCTTCCGTGTATCGACAATATCCCTCGAACCACTTTTCTTAAAATAATAATTCGTTTCAGACGCTCGGTCTACACGGGGCATTCTGGTTCTACGCGGCGGTCGCCGTATGCGGTCTGTGCTTCGTGGTCTGTTGCGTGCCGGAGACAAAGGGGAAACAGCTGGACGAGATGAACCCGGACTACGCCCAGGCGCGGTAGTATAAGGCCTCGTTAACGGGGGGCCTGTCGAATTTCGAGAAGTCCAACAAACCCCTGCCGGGAGGTGCGTACCCGAATCAACACGATCCGCGCGAGTTGTACGATAGGGGTTGCGCTCCGACCGACACCGGCCCGGCGGGCACGTCCTCCGCGCGCCACGCGCCCAATCGTCGAAGCCTGTTCACCGATTGCTGCAACATGTTCGCGGAGAGGACGAACAGGATCGGCAGGAACGTGGGCAACTTCGTCCAATCCCGGGGCGGCTCCCTGTTCTCGGCAGGCCGCCGTTCCACGAGCGAGGACCCGTTCCGCGGCGGCAATTCCGCTGCCCTCCATCCCCGATCGTGCAACGGGGACGTGGTGAAGCACGATTACAGCCGTTTCTTCAACCCTGTGGAGGAGGACGAGGAGGAGGCGACGACTCGCTCGCGGGAGGAGGATCGCCAACGATCGTACGGGCGGAATCGTCGGGTCGAGAGGACGTACGTCCGCGGCAAGGGTGTCTATCTCTCTACGGGGGAGGAGAGGGTGGCCGATGGAGGGATGGAGATGAGACCGCGACGAGGGGTCGGCGATTACGCGATTACGCGCGCGGGGGGGAGGAGGGCGGACGTCGATTCGGCTAAGCCGATAATGGTGGGGAACGGGAGGATTTGCAGCGGAAGCAGCCGCTCCACTCTGCCCAGAACGCGCGGCAGGACCATCAATTTCGGGGATCAGCGGGGATCGCTTTCCCCTCGGCTGGGATCGCGGCGGGGCTGTCCGAGGAGAAGCTTGCAGGAGCTGTCGGATCTCGAGCTGGAGGATGGGAGGGGAGCGAGGGGTCTCCACTCGAACGCCGCGGCGAGTGAGTGGAGGGGTGGCGAGGACAGGGTTGCTTCGCTCGACGAGGAATCCGGTTGGCATCGGCGCCGATACGGGTACGGTCGGGAGGACCGACTCGGGGATGACGATTACCTCAGACTGTACAGGAGTTTGTCCAGGCTGAGCAAATATCCCCAAGGGGGCAAGTACGAGCCCGGTCAGGTGCACTACGAGAGGGAATGCAGGACGTTCGGCAAGGACACGGTCGCGTTCATTTATTACAAAACTTGCTATTTGTGATGCACGAGGAGGGATAAATCGAGGGGATTCGACAAGGATCGGATAATTTGTTTAATTGGGAGGAATTTCAACTCGAGGAGGAGTTCGTTTCTCCCGATGTTTAAAATCGTTTCGGGATCGAGAAAGAAATAATTTCGTTTCCCGGTATTGGAAGAGTATTGGAAGAAAGAAAGAAGATTTTGATTTCTGAGCAAGATCTCATTAGACGACGGCGTTAGGTTACCGAGTTCCTTGATCGATTTGATACGAGCTTTTTCCGTTCGCGAGTCGATAGAAAATGCAAAATATATGGACGAGATAATTATTTCGAGTAATTGTACAAGATTGGTCAGAAATAAAAGAAACGATTGTTGTCCTAACGACCATCTTATTCGAAAATCACGCTTGACGCGCGTTATTCTAAAGAAGACTTCGTATGTAATAAAAAAAAAAAAAAAAAAGAAAAGAAAAAAAGGAAAGGTACAATTTATACGACGATAGAATAGAGGTATAAAAAAAAAAAAATTAAATAGGGGATAATTGTTAAAAGAATAAGAGTACGTTCAAACGATTAATTTTTTTCCTCCCTCCTCTGACCAGTTTTATGCTCACTTTCGATAATTATCGTAAAAAAAATCAAAGTCGACGAGTAAGATCTCTTTTTTCAAAAACGACTGAATTACGTAAATTAGATAGACCCATCTTCGTGATCTGCCTTGTGAGAGAAAAAATGATGTTCGAACGATATTTTGACCAAGAAGCGCATTAAATTAGCATACAGTTATTTTCAGTAGCTATATATATATATATATCAAACGAATTCTTGCAAGTATATATATATATATATATATGTATACATTCGAAAAGATGGATCTCGTTGGAACAATAATAATTAAAAAAAAAAAAGATAAATAAATAAAGAACGCTCTTCCGTGCAACGTGCCTTCTCTGAGAGCACGCAAATACGATATATATATACACATAGACGTACAGATAATAACGCAGAATACGTATAAATTATACATAAAAAGAAAAAGAAAAAAAAAAAAGGAAAATGATAGTCGTACATACATACACGTGTATACAATAAATTGTTTAGAATAGAATCGATAGACTGGTCCGTCGACGTTTCTCTAGACGTTTCACCCGTGATATTTTCAACTAAAATTTTCAAGAATTTCCAAAGTAACACGCGAGAAAAGAAGAGCTAATTAAAATATAAAGCGTGATAGCGTGATGTAAAATTTCAGAGATCCATTTTCTTTCAAAAGCGCACGACTGATCTTCGAGCTCTGAGATGATTTCGCATCAATGTTGAATTGATTCGATACCACGTTGAAATTTTATTCTATGCTATTAATTATTCGTCGTTTTTTCTTTTCAAATTTAAAACCAATACCGAAATCGAAAGAAAATTAAATTTATTTGGATAATATTAAGTTGTATTAAATTTAAAAGGGTATCAAATTAATTTACGCGATTTCGCTCGTAAGAAAAATTGAAAACCCGTGTTGTGTTAAATGAGACGAGAAAATAATGAAAATTTCTATTTTTCGTGTAATTAATTACCTAATAAGACTATTTTTTATGTAAAAAACGACGATAAAAACGAAACGATTGGAACGGTTTCGTGATCGATTTGTGTGTGACAGGTATGCGGAACGTTCGTCGCTTTCTCGCCAATTTAACACTACTTCGCGCGATATATTGATATACACATCTCTGTGACACAAACGCTATCGCTTGGCAAAAGAATGTAGAACGGAGAGAAACAATTTAGACGCGGTACAGAGGAAGAGAATATTTCATTTGTCTGACACTATAAGGTATATAAATACTCGATAGGCCTCGTTCTACGGTTCTATATACGGCCGCCATTGACTTAATGATGACAATATTATTATCTGTAGATATATTATACTACGCGTATCTTTCACACTAAGTACCTATTGTATAAATCGATTATTACGTGTACATTGTACGAACACGTATATAATATATACGTCGTGTTCGAACAACTATGAACAAATTTTTCGCGACAATACTGTATGATTAATTATCGCCACGAGACACGCGTGCGTTAGATTTTCAGAGAAAAAAATTGAAATGGGATCGAAAAATTGGCAAAAGTTTATCCTAT